ATTTGTGCAAAAAACACCAAAAATATGTAAAATATAGGGAAAAAGCGCGAAATTTTATCGCATTCAAAACTTGGGAAATGAAATTCAAAACATTTCCTCATTATGTATAGTATTGCTGTACTTTTTGTCATTCTTTTACTCCTTTGTGTCTCTTTGAGAACACTAATACTCAAAATACTTAATAGAATTTGTGCAGAAAGCACCAAAAATATGTAAAATATAGGGAAAAAGCGCGAAATTCTATCGCATTCTACCCCCCTTAAAGAAAACGAGTTACGCCCCCGTAACTCAACATACCTGAAACAGCTCTGAGTATTTCTTTTTCATTTCATCTTCTGCCTCCCAAGTGTCTTCCTCATATTCTTGTTTAGACCACAGTACTTTCACAATGTTAACGTTCTTATTGCGTGTACTACGCACTTTACTGTCAAGAATCTTGACAGGTCTCTCTTCATAAGTTAAGCTTTGATCTAACTCAATGATTTCGGGTTGTAGCATATGGGATTTTTCAGGAATGTACCTTCTCAATTGGGACACATGAAATACATCTTGTACTTTACTAAGCTCCATAGGTAAGGCTAACCTATAAGCTACTTTGCCTATTCTTTGTAGTATTTCATATGGACCAATGTATTTTGGACTGAGCTTTCCTTTCTTTCCAAATCTCATCACTCCTTTCATTGGTGACACCTTTAACAACACTTTATCACCAATTTCGAACTCTTCTTCCCTTCGCTTTAAGTCTACATAGCTCTTTTGGCGATCTTGAGCTGCTTGAATTTTAGCTTGAATTTCCCTTACTTGCTTAACTGTATCTTCAATCATTTGAGGCCCTAGGATCATAGTTTCACTAATGTCTTTCAACAAATTGGACTACGACATTTCCTCCCATACAAAGCCTCAAATGGTGTCATTCCTATGCTCGCACGGTAACTATTATTGTAGGAAAATTCAATTAAATCCAAGCTATCTTCCCATCCTCCCTGGAAGTCTATTACACAAGCTCTCAACATGTCCTCCAAGGTTTGAATGGTTCTCTCAGTTTGCCCATCTGTGGCAGGGTGAAATGTCGTACTCATCATAAGTGTTGTACCAAAATTTTCTTGTACACTTTTCCAGAATTTTGAGAGAAACCTTGAATCTCTGTCGGATACAATATCCTTTGGAACCCCATGTAACCTCACAACATGTTTGATGTAAGCTTTTGCAAGTTGCTCCATCTTCCAAGTTTCTTTAATTGGTATAAACACTGCTGATTTTGTAAGTCTATCTGATGACTGTCATTTATGGCACTCATAGGGTAGTCTTTTAGGGTTATTTCTTTCCCTTTTTCATGCTTTCTTCTCTTATTTTTGGTCCTCTTTCCTTTAGTTTCTCTTTTTCCTCTTTTTTTATGATTCTCGTGTTTTTATCGTGTTTTCCTTTATTAGGATCTTTTTCCATTTTATTTCCTTTCTTTGTGTACTTGTGTAGGTATTGTGAGAATCACTTTGGCAAAGGATTCAATTTGGGACTTTAATGATCAAGCAAGGAAGAAGAATTTGGCTACAGAGGGCTTAGAGAGGGCTTGAAGAGGCCTCGGAGAGGTTTCCAAGGCAAATCCAGCAGGCCGCGGGCGCGGGTCATCTTGCCGCGGGCGCGGGCCCATGTTACTACAAATTGCCAAAACTTGGCAGGAACTTGCCGCGAATGCCCCGCGGGCGCGGGTAAAATGGAGAGGCGGCTCCATTCAGAGAGACCGCGGCCCCCTGATCAGGCTTTGGGAGCAGGGGATTAGCCGCGGGCGCGGGTTTCACTGCCGCAGGCGAGGATCTCTGTTGCCGCGGGCGCAGGGTCTGCCCAGATAGCCCGCGGAGGGTTCCGTACCCAGTTTTCCGCGGGCGCGGGTCTATCAAGAGAGGGCGCGGGAGCTGCCGATTTCTTCTTTGCTTATAAATAGAATTGTATTTCCTTTTTGAAACCAACTTTTTGGTAATTTTCATTAGCTTAGTTTTAGAGAGAGAATCTAGAGAGAAGTTATAGAGAATTTCTTGGTTTTGGATTTGTAACTCAACATTTGATCAATCAAGTTTGGATTTCTTCATTTTCAATCATCAATACTAGTGAGAATCTCTTCCTTCTTTCATCATTTACTTACTTGCTATTGATTTTTGCTTGTTGCTTGTTCTTCTTTGGATTGAAATTTGATATTGTTTATTATTTTGATTTCCCTTAGATTTTGATATAGAAATGAAGATTAAAGCAATATCTAGTTGTTTATTCTTCAATTTCACCATGATTAGTGAGTAGATTAGTTGCTAGGGAAAGGGGGAAGCATGTTTGATTAATGAAATTGCTAGTTGATGCTCTTTGATTGATTGATTTGTTGCAATTAAATTGGTTGACATAGTTTTGCATGTGATTGATTAGACTAGGAGTGATCAACCTATAAGATTAATCTAGATTGCATTGCAACTCTTAATGACATGAACAATTGAATTCAAAGTTGCTCTAATTGATTGGGTTTGCTTGTGATTCTTCTTGATTTGCCTTTTATAGTGACACCTAGATTGGCCCGTAGGAGATAACATTCGAACTCTCTTGATTGCTACTATTGTTTGTCCATTGCAATACTTGAATTAATTGATTGAGCTTTAAACTAGCATTATCATTGAACTTGCATGTGGAACCCATATCCCTAGTGTTTAGACCATTGTTTTACTTGATTAGACTTGCTTTATTTCACCATAGTGCCAACCATAATATCAACTCCATCTTCGAGGTAGCTTGACTTAGACTCTAGTTTTCATCATGGCATTCCCTAGGGATCGACCCTTATCTTGCCCTATATTAATATAATGTTTGTTAGGTGTTTACAAATTTTGTTTGACTTAGGGGAAGGGTACATAACGACATACATTTTCCTCTTGTCAAAATGGCGTCGTTGCCGGGGAGTGCTATTGGTGCTTAGCTTTTGTTGTTGAGTCTACTTCATTTTAATTGAAAAAAAAAATATATACAAAAAGATTTTGTTTCTTTAGGCTACACTTGTAGCCGTGCTACTAATATTTTCTTTGAAGTTTTGCATGCATAGAGCTCGTGATCGATCCATTGTGCCTTTTGACCCGGAAATTGAGAGGACTCTCTCAAGAAGAAGAATAGCTAATCGATTCTCCTTGGGGTATAGTTCTTCAAGTGAAGAAGAGATTGAAGAAGAGCAAGGCATGGGAGAAAATCCGAGAGTGGCCTTGAAGGAGCTAGGAATACCCGGTGCTTATAGGTTTGAGAGCGGCATAGCTCCGCCTACAACACCGGCAAATGATTTCGAGATTCGGCCGGCCATGATCACCTTAATTGAGAGGAGGCAATATAGTGGGGCTAAGAATGAGAGCCCGTTGAACCATCTTAAAGAATTTGAAAAATATTGCAACACCATCAAAGTCAACGGAGTTTCTCAAGAGTTCATACGCCTCAAGTTGTTCCCCTTCTCTCTCATAGGAAGATCCTTAGAGTGGCTAGATAAATAGGTGAAGCCCAATTCCTTGAGAACATGGGATGATGTTACAAAGGCCTTCTTGTCCTGTTTTTACCCTCAAAAGAACACGGCGGAGGCAAGAGCCTTGATTCAAGGGTTCAAGAAAAGGCCAAATGAAAGCCTTTACGAAGCATGGGAGAGATACAAAGAGTATCAAAGGGAGTGCCCTCACCACGGAATCCCAACATACCAAGTGGTCCAAATATTCTATGGCGGTTTAAGTCCCCAAGGCAAGTCATGCCTTGATGGGGGGCCGGGGGTCCTATCATGAACAAGACCGAAGAAGAAGTGGTGGACATCATTGAGGACGTGGTGACGTACTATAGAGATTGGCAAGATGGGGAGAGAGACTCTTCAAGCAAGAAATCTTCATTGTACTCAGTAGACCATCTAAATGCGATCAACAACCTTTCCTCCCAAATGACAAACTTGGGAAAGGAGATGACCGCAATCAAAGCCAAGTTGGAGAGCACTTCTACTTCATCCCAAGCTTCGAATCTTCCCTCCCAATTTAAGGGGAGAGGTACTCCTTCTAACTCTCAACCCCCTCCCTCTTCACATAATATGCCTATGGGTTGTTTGTTTTGTGATGCATGTGGATCGTATGATCATGACTCTAGTAATTGTCCTAATGAATGTGTTGATGAGTTTGATAACAATGAGAGTGAGCATGTGAATTATGTGTTAAATAATAATGCTCAAAGGTTTGATAATCAAAGAGGTCAATGGAATAGGAATTACCAAAACCAAGGCAATTTTGACAACTATAATCAAGGTGGTGGTTATAGAAACCAAGGGAACCAAGGTTTTCGTGGTAGCTATAATAATCAAGGTTATAGTGGCCAAAATTAAAGCCAAAATTATGGTAATCAAAACCAAGGTTATGGAAATCACAATCAAGGTGGTGGTAACCATAATCAAGGTGGTGGTAACCATAATCAAGGTTATGGAAAAAATCAAAATAGGGGTACTTGGAACAATCAAGGGAAGGGCAATTTTCAAAATAATGCTCAAAGAGGTCCCCCACCCGGATTTGTTCTAAGGACTCAAGGAGAAAATTCCTATTCCCAACCTTCTTCACCTATGACCAATTTGGAAGAAATAATTGAGAATCAAACCAAGTTGTTGAACACATACATGGCCGTTAGTGATAAGAAGTTCAATGAAATGATGACCCACAATAAAATGCTTGAAAATCAAATTTCACAACTTGCTAATGCTTTGAAAGATCGTGCAAGCCCTTCTTCTTTACCTTCCCAAGGTCTTGATCCCAAGAAACACGTGAATGCTATTGTTACTAGGAGTGGTAAGGTTCTTGAGGAGAGATTTCCCAGGAAGGGTGAGGATAAGGAGATTCCAAAGAAAGCCTTGGTTGAGAATGAGGGGGATAGGGCATCATTGGATGAGGTTTGTGGTTGAGACAACTAGAGAGGTGAGAGTAGAGAAAGAAATTGTGAAACCCAAGCTCCCTTACCCACAAAAATTCATGAGACACAAATTGGATGAGCAATTTGGGAGATTCATTGATATGCTAAAACAACTTCATCTTTCTCTACCTTTTACCGATGTGATCAACCAAATGCCAAATTATGCCAAATTACTCAAGGAAATTTTGAGTGGGAAAAGGACTTGTGAGGTTGTGGAAACTATCAATTTGACCGAAAATTGTAGTGGTATCATCATGAACAAAATGCCACCCAAATTGAAAGACCCCGGAAACTTCTCCATCCCTTGTGCCATTAACAAGATGCAAATTGATAATGCCTTATGTGACTTGGGAGCTAGTGTTATCATAATGCCATATTCGGTTTATCAAAGGCTTGAACTAGGGGAACTCTTACCTTCTAACATTATCTTACAATTAGCCGATAGGTCAATCAAGTTTCCAAAAGGTAAGGTAGAAGATGTTCCATTGAGGGTTGGGAAGTTTGTGTTCCCGGTGGATTTTATTGTGCTTGAAATGGATGAAGATGCTACCATTCCAATCATTTTAGGTAGACCCTTTCTTGCTACCTCGGGTGCTATGATTGATGTGAGGAGTGCAAAGATTTCCCTTAAGGTAGGAGATGAGGTCATTGAATTTGATTTGAATGAAAGCATGAAATATCCATCTTCTTCTCTAGAAAATTGCATGATGATTGATTCACTTTATCATGTTGTGTCTTCCATGCATGAGCACTTGCTCACCTCTAACGATGCTCTTGAGAATGTTTTGTTGAACAAGGACAAAGTAGGTACACCATGCAAGGAAGTGGCATTCTATGAAGAATTGCTTAATGGAAGCATGGAAGAAGTGGATGAGCAAATGTGCTTGAAAATCTCAAACCAAGAGGCTTTCCAAGCGGCCACATCAAAGGAAGGTAATGGTGTGCCTATGGTAGAGCTCAAACCTCTACCATCACACCTTAGGTATGAGTTCTTGGGCCCTCATTCCACTTATCCCATGATAGTTAGTGCATCCTTGAGCGTGAGCCAAGCTCAAGCGTTATGTGGTGTTTTGAGAAAGAACCAAGGTGCTTTGGGGTACACAATTGATGATCTTAAAGGTATAAGCCCCGCCTTGTGCCAACACCATATAACACTTGAGGAAGGCGCCCTTCCTTCTATCGAACGACAAAGAAAACTACATCCCCAAATGGGAGAGGTAGTTAAGAAGGAGATCACCAAGCTATTGAATGCGGGAATCATATTCCCCATCTCTAGCTCAAGGTGAGTCTCCCCCGTGCATGTCGTTCCAAAGAAGGGGGGCATGACCGTGGTTGAGAATGAGAAGGGTGAGCTCATTCCAACTAGGACGGTCACGGGTTGGCGGATGTGTATAGACTATAGACGTCTAAACACATCCACTAAGAAGGATCACTTCCCTCTTCCATTTATTGATCAAATTCTTGAAAGACTAACAAGGCAAAAGTTCTATTGTTTCCTCAATGGATATTCGGGATTCTTCAAAATCCCCATTCACCCCGATGATCAAGAGAAAACTACCTTCACATGTCCTTATGGGACCTTTGCCTATCGAAGAATGCCCTTTGGGTTATGCAATGCACCCGCTACATTCCAAAGGTGCATGATAGTATCTTTGGGGATATGTTGGAGGAGGAAATGGAGGTCTTCATGGATGACTTTTCGGTGGGGGGTGTCTCATTTGAGGAGTGCCTTGTGAACCTTGAGAAGTGTTTAGAAAGATGTGTTAAGGTCAATCTTGTTTTGAATTGGGAGAAATGCCACTTCATGGTGGAAGAAGGTATAGTGCTTGGGCACAAGATTTCAAATAGAGGCATTGAGGTGGATAAGGCAAAAATAGAAGTTATTGAGAAACTTCCACCTCTGGTGAATGTCAAGGGTGTGAGATCGTTCCTTGGTCATGCGGGTTTCTATAGAAGATTCATCAAGGATTTTTCACTTATTGCTAAGCCCCTAAATGACCTTCTTCAAAAGGATGTTGAGTTCATTTTTGATGACAAATGATTGAAGGCATTTGATAAATTGAAGAAGGCCCTTATCTCCACTCCTATTGTTCAAGCCCCAAGGTGGGATCTTACTTTTGAATTGATGTGTGATGCAAGTGATTGGGCTATTGGAGGTGTTTTGGGACAACGTATAGAAAAGAAGCTTCATGTGATCTATTATATGTCAAAGACACTCAATGGGGCTCAAAAGAACTACACAACAACGGAAAAAGAATTTTTAGCAATTGTGCACTCTTTTGAGAAATTCCGTTGTTACTTGTTGGGTTCCAAGACCATAGTCTTCACGGATCACGCGGCCCTCAAGTATCTCTTTTCCAAGAAAGAGTCCAAGCCTAGGTTGATTCGATGGTTGCTTGAATTGCAAACTTTTGAGATTGAGATTAGGGATAAGAAGGGTGCGGAGAATGTTGTGGCGAACCATCTTTCTCGCCTTGAGGGTGATCAAATTCATGATGATGGTTCACGAATTGAGGATAGAATGCTTGATGACTTCTTATATGCCATAGAGGTGAAGGAACTCCCATGGTATGTCGACTTGGTGAATTTTCTAGCATGTGGGGAGTTTCCACCCTCTTTCTCAAAGAACCAAAGGAAGAAAATCAAAAGGGAGGCAAGACATTAGTTGTGGTATGATCCCATCCTATACAAACGAGGGGTTGATGGCTTACTTAGGCGTTGTGTTCCAAATGAAGAGGTGCCTAGTGTTTTAAGGATGTGCCACTCGGACCCTAGTGGTGGGCATATGGGTGTTTCCAAGACCGCTACCAAGGTTCTTCAATGTGGTTTGTGGTGGCCGCATCTCTTCAAGGACTCATGGGGCTTTGTGAAGTCATGTGACCGATGTCAAAGGGTTGGGAATATCTCCAAGAGGAATGAGATGCCTCAACAACCCATTCTTGAGTTAGAGGTGTTCGATGTTTGGGGGATTGACTTCATGGGACCGTTCCCATCTTCATATGGTAATCAATTCATACTTGTGGTTGTGGACTATGTTTCTAAATGGGTTGAGGCCATTGCCTCCCCTACTAATGACCACAAAGTAGTGTTGAAGTTGTTCAACAAAATCATCTTCCCAATGTTTGGCGTGCCTAAGGCTGTGATAAGCGATAACGGATCTCATTTTGTTCACAATGCTTTCCAAAAGATGTTGAGGAAACATGGAGTGCATCAACGGTTCGGCCTTCCATATCATCCTCAATCGAGTGGCCAAGTCGAGGTCTCCAATCGTCAAATAAAGCTCATTCTTGAGAAGACGGTTGCAAGGAATAGAAAGGATTGGTCGAACAAGTTAGATGATGCTCTTTGGGCTTATAGAACGGCTTTTAAGAAGCCTATTGGTACCACTACATATCTCCTTATCTATGGCAAATCGTGCCATCTCCCGGTAGAGCTTGAACATCGTGCCTTATGGGCTATCAAGAAGATAAATTTTGACTTAGGTAGTGCGGGGGAGAAGAGGTGGTTGGATCTTCATGAGCTAGAGGAACTTTGACTTGATGCTTACGATTGTGCTAGCACCTACAAGGCTCGCTCCAAAGAGGTTCATGACAAGTTGATTGAGAAAAAGGAGTTTTTTGTAGGTGATAAAGTCCTCCTCTACAATTCAAGGATGAAGTTGTTTCCCGGAAAGCTCATGTCAAGATGGAGTGGACCATTCTTGGTGAAAGATGTTTTTGATAATGGTGCCGTGGAGATTTCTCCTTTGAACTCCTCATCTTCATTCAAAGTTAATGGTCATCGGCTCAAGAAGTACTATGAGGGAGTGTTTGTTGGACTTGTTCACAAGATGATTCTTTTCAAGCCACCTTGAGATGGTGGTGCATGTCGAGCTAACGACGTTAACCAAAAGCGCTTACGGGAGGCAACCCGGATTCTCATCTCATTTGTTTTCCTTTCTTTTCTTTTATTTTTCCTTGATTGGTTTTTGATTTTATTTTTGTGTTAGTTTTGTGTTTGTCTTGTAGGTCGGGCTTTATCATCGCTTGTTGAAAAAAAAGAGGTTTGAAGGAAAGTTAAGAGTGCTGGGGAGAGGGCTCCCCGAGGGTAAGGAGATACCTAGGGGGCAATTTCTCCTCTTGAGGCAAATTTATAATGTCATTTCCAAGGACTTCCCGCGGTTGCCCCGCGGTCTCTCCGCGGGCGCGGGAGGTTCTGGAGAGGGCGCCCCATGTTGGAAAGGGCGCGGGCCTCAATTCGACCAAATTTGAAGCTTCATTCCAGGAAGTTCCCGCGGTTTCCCCGCGGTCTCTCCGCGGGCGCGGAAGGTTTTGGAGCGGGCGCTCCATGTTTGGAGAGGGCGCGGCCTAAATTCAAGCAAATTTGGAACCCCCTTTCCAGGGGCTTCCCGCGGTTGCCCTGCGGTCTCTCCGCGGGCGCGGGAGATTTGCCACGGTCGCGGCATTTTAGGGAGAGGGCGCAGCCCCCCATCAGGTACTAAAATTCTGAAATTCCAGGAAGTCCCCGCGGTTGCCCCACGGTCTCGCCGCGGGCACGGGAGATTTGCCGCGGGCGCGGCATTTTCGGGAGAGGGCGCGGCGAACTGGGTTTTAACCCGGGGCACGCCCCTCTTCTCCCTCTCTCCTTTCTTATTTTCTCCTCTTCTCCTTATTTTTCCTCTTTCTCTCTCTACCTCCTCTCAAACCCTAACCCCTAAACATCAATTTCCCAAAAATTTCTTCACCTTTTGCCCAAAATTTTCACAATTTCTTCCATAATCCTCCATTTTCAACACTCCTCCTATTCTTTCTCGTGCTTCTTCGGGAAAATTCGGGTCTTTGAAGTGCTTTGAGTTTCATTTGAGTCTCCAATCTTGGTATACTTCTAACCTTTGTAATATTTTTGTCAATTTCAATTGATTTCTTTACATTGGTTTTTTTACCTTGAATTTGAGCATGATTTTTGTGTTTTATGGTTGATTTATGGAAAATTGGTATATTTGGGTGATTGTTAATTTTTCTTATTGATTCATGATTATATTGTTGAATGATTGTTGATATTGTTGTTTGTTGTTGGATTTTGGTTGTGTTGATTGGAACAGGTACCTTGTAGTTTGTGGTGGTTTGGTTGGATTTGTAAGGAGTTTTGTGAGTAATTTTTGGAGGAAGTTGATTTTTTTGAGGGAGTTTGTTGTGTTCTTGTGACTTGAGTGACTTTTGTTAAAATGGATTTGATAAAAAGAGTCAAAAGTAGCAAAAAGCGCTCAAACCAATCCCCCGGCCAATTTTCTCAAGGCCAATCCTCAAACCCTCAACCCCAACCGCATTCTACAACTCAAGATGATGCTCCTCCTCCTCCTTTACCTCCTCTCAAATTTTGGAACCGGTCTAAACAAACCCCCATCTATAACAAAATGAAAGACCGGAAGTTTAGACCCTCCCGACATTATTTTCGTGAGGATATGGCCAAGTTAGGAATTGAAAATAACCTTGACATCCTCCTAAATAACCTTAGCTTGGGTGAGTTTCTAAAATCGGCCCCTAGAACCTATTTGGAGCCTTCCATTGAATTTTTCTCCACATTTGAGTTCAATAAGGTGGGGGAAACCGATTTTAATATTTCCTTCCAACTCTTCATTGTCAAACACACCATGAACCTAGCCGAGTTCAATGTAGCCCTTGGTTTCAACCCCAATGGTGATATCTTCGAGCCCCTTATCTCCCTTGTCCAATCTGAGTATAATGAGGTTTCTTGGTGGAGAACCATAGCCAACAAGAGGGAGTTTGATTCGAAAAAGTCTCTTGCTAGTGAGATTATCCATCTAACCCTTAGGATCCTTCATAGAATTCTTGGGTATTCTGTTTTTAATAAGCAAGATTTGGGGAAGTTGTCTAGGGAGGAGATTATGGTGCTATGGATGGCTACCAAGCCGGAGTTAGGGTCAAGGATTAATTTTGGCTATATCTTCATGAATTGTTGCAAGGATATAATGCATAGGGTCAAAACGGGGGAAATCCATTGTGGGGGCATGGTGACACGTCTTGAGTCGTATTTTAAGCAAGAGGAGTTCTTGAAGTCTTGCACTCCGGTTGGAAGGAGTGAAGACGTGTGGATTAGTTTGAAGCAAGTTAACACCTTACGTTTCATAACTAGCACTAGGAGAACCGACACCTACTCTTGGATAGTGAGAAATACCCACCATTGCCTTCTCCCTATCCCGGCCGCCACCTCCATCCTTCGTGAGGCTAGGAACATTTGGATGGTCCCTAGGGACAATGGGAGGATTGAGGATGAGATGGAGGAGGATGATGATATTGATGGGGATGAGAATGATGAGGAAGAGGAGGAAGGAGGAGGAGATGAATATGATGAAGAGCAACAACAACCGCCACTACAATAACAACATGAGCATTTTCATGATGATGCTCAAGGAAGAAGAAGAGAAAGAAGACGACAACAACAACAACAAGGTTTCCAAGGAGATGCTTATCTCCGAGAGATGGAGGCCATGAGAGACCAAATGGAGCGCATGCAAGGTATGTACTCGGACCACCAAACTTTGTCTTATCAAACTAGCGCATTGTATGACGCTAATGTGCGTAGGGGAGAGGTCACACCTCCGGTCAACTACCCTTATGTGCCGCCCCAACAAGGGCCGGTACCTTCATGGGGTGGTGACAACCTCCCTACGTGCCCATATTGGCCCGGGGTAGAGGATCCCGATGTGCCAAGGCGCGACTTCCCACCTTATGATTATAGGGTCTCGGGGGGGGGGGGGGGTGATTATCAGGGTGATCCCGCGTATTACTATGTTCACCCCCATCACCCCGAGCCCCTTGTTCAACCTGAGCCCTATGCCCAATTAACCCGATCCCAACTTGACCTATTCCGGGGTCACTATGGTTTTCCTCCCGGTTACACCGGAGGTTGGGATACGGGTGATGATGGTGCCGGCCCTAGTGGCGAATAGCCCCCTTAAGCATGTTTGTTCCCCTTTTTGTTCTCCCCTTTCCCTATTTTGCATGATTATAGGCATCGCGGTCGATGCCTTCATTTTGTGAGGGGGGAGGATAAAAAAGGATGTTTTATGTTGGTTTGGGGAAACACCTGGGGCTCGGTGGGAAGTCTTTGATAAGGCTTTTGGTGGATTTTTGCTAATGGTCTCGTTGGTCTGTTGCTTGTTGTTTTGGTTCATTTCTTGATGTTTTTGGGAGTTTCTTGAAAAAAAAACAAATAAATAGAAATTTTGATGACGGTAGTTTCTCTAGGTCTTTGTATATAATTTGTATCTAAGTGTTTTAATGGTTGCTTTTGTTTGGAAGTTACTAAAAATTTCATTTTGTATATATAGCATTTTTCCTTAACTCACCTTGCTCGTAGCCTATGCTTTGGATTGCGGAACCTTTTGGAGATGCACATTCCTACTCCTTGGGTACTTTAATTTAAAGCGGATGCTTGGTGAGGCCTTTCTTATTTTACCTTTTTATTTTCACTTCTTCATTTTCTTGGGTGCTTAGATTAAGATTAGATTTAGGAGAAGTTGAACGGTTCGAGGATGTATGATTTTAACACCTAATGTGTTTGTGGTCTTTGGCGATGTGGCCATTAGACCGCTTGTATGTCGATTGGGATAAACGTGTTATGATTGCATCTTTGCTCTTTTCCTCTTTCCCTTTCTTGTCCTTGTTTAAGTTTTCCATTCTTTTCTTTTCTTTTCTTTTAATCTTGTTTGTGTGCATAACTTTTTGAGGCTTTATTTTCACTCTTTATCTTTTTGAAAATTGGACTTGTATGCACTGGACTTTTGCTTTTGAATAATGGTCTTCTTAGGTAATAATGGTATACACGGTTTGAGATTACGTTTGGTTGATTCTAGGATAAAGCATGCTAAGATAGTTGTCTAGAACTAGGGGATCATGAAACCGGATTCTACTCGTTTGTGGCATGTTGGTAGTTACTCCCTGTCTTTGATTTGACACCCTTAGTGAGTCTTTGCTACAACCATGTGAGTTTTATATTTGTTCAAGCTTTCATCATACTCTTGCATGAGCGGCATGGATCCTTGATTTTCGCAAACCTAATCTAGAATCTTAGCATATGATTCCTAAGACCGTGACCGAACTACCTAGAGAGGACAAAGGCAAATTTTTCGGGGAGGTATTTTTCTTTTTCTAGGATAGTCACTTTTTGGTTTGGGATTCATTTGCCTACTTGTTACCCATTTGAACCCTTTTCCCTCTTTTCAAGCCGCATAATTAGATATCTTGAGCCTTTTGTTTCGTTCTCCTTCTTTTTGGTTTTTGTGAAGCAAGGGTCGATGTTTGGTGATTGTGGTCTATGAAGTTGGGGCTTGGTTCGAATTGGTACACATAATTGAGTTGTTAATATTTGGTAAATAATGGCGAATGCTTATGTAAAACCCGTCCTTAGTAAAAAAAAAAAAAAGGGCAAGGACTAATGCTTTTAAGGAGTTCAAGGAATTTCAAACAATTTTATTAATGAGGATTTCTTCAAAAAAAAAAAAAAAATTTTTTTGAAGTGTCTTTCTCCTCTCTA